TTTTTATTTTATTTCATATTTTTATTTCAGCACATTACAGGGGTACAAATGTTTATGTTACATATATTGCGTTTGCCCCACCCGAGTCAGAGCTTCAAGTGTGGCCTTCCCCCTAATGGTGCACACCGCACCCATTAGGTGAGACTATACCCACGTCCTTCCCCCTCACTATTCAACTCTCCCACTGTTCAACACCTGATCAATGTTACTACTACATATGCACTTAAGTGTTAGTCAGCTAAGTCAATTAATACCAATTTGATGGAGAGTACATGTGGTGCTTGTTTCTCCATTCTTGTAATACTTCGCTTAGTGGAATGGGCTCCAGCTCTCTCCAGGATAGTACAAGAGGTGCTAGAGCAGAATTGTTTTGTGGCTGAGTAGAACTCCATGGTAACCTATACCAGATTTTATTAATCCCCTCATGTATTAATGAGCACTTGGGTTGTTTCCACAAACAATTCACAATTCACAATTGTTTGCAATTGTGAATTGTGCTGTTATAAACATTCTAGTGCAGATGTCTTTTGAATCTGAAAATTCATTTACATGATTCTAAGAAATGAGTTTATCCGCATAAAATTAAATTTGTGGCAGCCTACTTAGACTTGTGCTTTACTATTTGATCATTACTGTCAAAAAGCCTTCTGTGACTCTCTCTCCCCCTTTGAAAGAAAGCTGCCTTTTTTTCTTTTACCATATTGATATTAACATGTCAGAATATAATTTAGATGTATGCTGTCTTTATTCCAGCAAAATAAGGAAATGTCAGTCCTTTAGAGCTCTATTCCCTCTTTCCTCATTTTGTGCTTCTTATACTTACATATATAACATCTATACACCTTAGAAGTTCAATAAAGTACATTGTTGCCAGCATATTCATCTTCAGTGAATAATTTCACTGATTTCCAAAGAGGGTACACAAAGGTACCCTCCCACCAGCAATGTATGAGGTTCGTGTTGTTCTATATCTCCACCAGTACTTGGTATTGGTAGGCATTTCAATTGACATCCTTCTAGTACATGTGTAACCATATCTCACTGTGATTATAATTTACATTATCATAATTAATGAAGCTAAACACCTTGTCATATATTTATGGGACATTTCACTATTGTATCTAGTGAAATGTCTGTGTAAGTCTGACCATGTTTCCAATAGATTTGCTCTATTAGTTACATTGATACATATACATTAATCATATATATGCATATATCACTGTATTTGTACATGTACGTATGTGTATGATATATCACAAATATGTCAATCCACCTAAAACATACATATATACAAAATATGTATAAATAAATGTATATCATATGTAGAGAGACAGAGACACACAGACAGAGAACCTTTATAATTTCTCCCTCTGGTTTCACTCTCTTGGTGACATGCTTAGTGGAACAGCTTTCTGGCTTTTTGTTTGTTTCTTTGTTTTAACTCTTGACAGAACATTTATTTTTTAATTATTTATTTTTTAAATAAAAACAAATTCTCACTACTGGGCATTTATACAATGAATATAAAAAATTTTTATTAAGAAAACACCTGCAGTCGAATGTTTATAGCAGCACAATTCGCAATAGCAATGATGTGAACAGGTTTCTTTTGGTTCTCTTTTATCCACTCTCAAACTATCAGTTCTATGTCTTTAAGAAAATATATATGGTTTTTTTCTAAATCTAGATTTAATAAAGTTTTTTAAACTGGTATGTTTAGCCTATTAATGGTTATGTGAATTTCCGGGTTTCTTTCTGGAATCATTCCTCTCCACCTGAAGATCACTGATTGCTCTTTCAGTGTAGGCAGAAGAACAAGGAATTCTCTTAAGTTTTTCTTGTCTAAAAGCATATTTATTTTGACTTCATTCTAGAAGGACACTTTCCCCCTGCATACAGAATACTAAGCCATCATCTCCTATCCTCTATTCTTTCTGCCAGGACTGGATTTAGGGTAAGGCAAATGAGGCCCCAGGGCACAAATGTTGAGGGGCAGCAGAATCGTCTATAGTCAGGGTAAATTGTTGAGACGTGTCTCAGGAAACAGGTTGACCAGATGGCCTGTGGGCAGCAGGCCTGGGTCCTGGTGAGGGGGTGGGGTGAGGGCAGGCAGCACAGGGGTGGGGGAGGCAGTGTTCTCAGGCAGCAGGGCTTAGCACTCCGCAGGGGCCAAAGATTCCCAAGGTCACTTCTCTCTGGAGAAATCACCTGTAAAAGTTGTAAGAATGTGTTTATATGAGCCAGTCAGGATGCAGTCAGCTGGGCGCTGTCCAACTTTAGCAGCTTTGAGGTGGGCCCCCATGGATACGGGATTCTGAACCCTGAGGAAAAGCCCTCGGCCTCCCCAAGTGGATGCTGGTATCTCTGAGGAGACAGTGCACCCACACCTGGAAACCCAAACCTCTGCCTCTGAAACCAAGTGCAGCTGCCAAGGTGAAGCTCTTTCCTGGGAGGGGAGTGATTACAGACACCAACAGGGAGGAAACAGGTTTCTCCTGCTCTTGTCCTCCTCTCCCTCTACTGCCCTCTGTTGGCAGACTCTAGCAAGGAGACGCTGCAGAGGAGACATGAAGTCCAGACTGGCAGCCCTGGCCTATCCAGAAAGGACATGGAGAAGGAAGAGGGGCCTTTACCTCCCATGTGTGTTCCCTGGGCGTTGTTAGATGCGCGTGTCCTGTCCTCCAGGATGGGGCCTGTGAGATTTAGATCTGAGAGAGTGAGGAAGATTCCAGAATGAGAAAGGACCTCTGCTCTGCTGAACAGTCTGACACAGAAAGAGGGGATGGAGGATAGCGAAGGTGACTACTAGAGGGTCCTCTGGGCCTTGTAAATATGTTCATTTTGTAAACTGGATATTTCTTTTGGAGTCTGAATCAAAATTACCGAAAATTGCTTTAGCCTGAAAAGCATTATAGTGAAATGAAGAATATGTCTCATAAAAAATATGTGCATAAAGAATATGCACAACCTTTCACATCTCTCTCATTATTTCAGTGGGGATGCTGTGATGACCCAGACCCCACTGTCCCTCCCAGTCACCCCTGGAGAGCCGCCTCCATCTCCTGCAGCGCTGGTCAGAGCCTCCTGCATAGCGATGGAAATACCTATTGGAATTGAAACCTGCAGAAGCCGGGGCAACCGCCAAGGCGCATGATTTATAACTTTACCACCTGTGATTCTGGGATGTCAGACAGTTCCATGGCAGCAGATCAGGGACAGATTCATGCTCAAAATCGACAGGTGGCTAGGGCTTGAGGATTTAGGAGTTTATGACCTCATGCAAACTACAAAGTTTCTTCTCACAGTGGTGCAGCCCCAAACAAAATCCTCCCTTCTTGGATTGCCCCAGCTGCCCATATTTGTTCCTTCACTGGGGAGCAGACAGAATATATTCTCTGAATCTGTGTAAGAGGAAGATGTTGGAGACCTCAGGGGAACAACTTGCAGCTGGACCATGAGTTCCTAGCTAGGGCTCAGGCACCATACATGGGGCCACATCGACTGTGGCAGCCTTAGCATAGCAGAACCTGCAGCAGATTAGAGGGGTCCAAGTGTCCTCTGAGCAACCAGACAGGAGGAAGGGAGAGCTGACTGGATCCTCTCACCTGAAGCTCATCTAAATCCTCTCTCCTTTGCATGCATTTGTCAATTACATTCATTTAGCAAAACAGTCAACCAATTGAGGCTGATTCATGACAACAAAACAGTGGCACATTTTTTGGTATTGCCTTGGCTTAACAGTCACTAGTCTATATGCAGCCAGATACTATTTGGTGATGATGACATCTGTCTTCACCCCTTCACCACTTGTGTCTTACCCTTATTCTCAGCACTCGTCTCCCTCCAGAACCAGAGCAGGCCAGGGCTTTATGCTACTGTTCTCAGGGGAGTAGCCAAGAATAACATTTCATAGTCTTGGTTTCTTCACTAATAGATAGACTTTGGCAATTCTATTTCATAATTAAAGACTAGTTCCAGAAGTCTTTGAACACTCTCAGTCAAATGGGTTGAAGAATGGTGTTTTCTGAATTCCAATACCACATTTTAAAATATGCAAACAAGAACAAAGTCTGAATTAATTATTGAGTGTAGTATGACACATTCAAAAGAATTTTTATAAATACAAGATACTATGTAAGTCAATACTTACCTGAAGAAGAAGAAGAATATTAAGCCCTTGGGCAAAGGAAGTAAATCAGAAGAGGAAGCAAGTGATGGAGCTCTGTGGCTCATATGTTGGGGTGTTAATGCTGGTGGGGTCAGGGTTGAGATATGAACCCAGATGGAAGCTCTGATGTCTGTCTCAGGAAGAATCACAGAGTTGAAGGGACACCTGCCTGGTACCTAAATGCACATTAGGACATGTCACACATTCCTAGTGAACCCAGGAGGACATAGGTGACCTTCCAAAAATGGAATCTACTCTCAATATACACCTGGGGATGAGTGGTCTCATTTGTTCTCCCACTGGGGAGGATGGTCACTCAGAAGAGACCATGTAGGCAGATGAAGGGACTGATGACTAGAAGATTGAGTGGGGCCTGGGAAGGTCAGCAGGAGATGCAGTGGTGGTGTCCCAAGAGTCACATCTGGAAACATTTGACTGTATGTTGAATACCTGAAAGTCTCACCCTCTAAGACTTTATATTCTTTATAGATAATGATATTCTGCTACATACGCCTCATACAACTTTGAAATACATCACTCCATGTAGTCTCCACATCTAATTCAAGTTTTAACTATAGGTTCCCCCAAATTTCCTTTTTATCAAAATATCCTCCAGGGAAAAAGACATTGTCTGCAGGTGAATCTGTGCTGCCCTGGTCTGACCTAGGACATTGGGGACCCTGGGCCTGTCCTGAGTCACTGAGATGAGCCAGCCCTGCAGCTGTGCCCAGCCCGCCCATCCCCTGCTGATTTGCATATTCCCACAGCACAGCCCCTGCCCTGCAGACTTATCAACAGGCTGGTCACACTCTGTGCAGGAGTCAGTCCCCATCAGGGCACAGCATGGACATGAGGGTCCCCACTCAGCTCCTGGGGCTCCTGCTGCTCTGCCTACCAGGTAAGGAGAGAGACCACCAGGAATGTTCTCAGCCAGTGTGCTCAGTACTGCCTCAGGGAGGTCTTTTTATAATATGATTAATTATATGAATGTTTGTTTTTATGTTTCCAAATTCAGGTATCAGATGTGACATTCAGATGACCCAGTCTCCATCCTCCGTGTCTGCATCTCCAGGAGAAACTGTGACCATCTCTTGCCGGGCCAGTCAGGGCATTAGCAATTATTTATCCTGGTACCAGCAGAAACCAGGGAAACCTCCTAAGTCCCTGATCTATGCAGCATCCAACTTATACCCCGGGGTCTCATCGAGGTTCAGTGGCAGTGGGTCTGGAACAGATTTTTCTCTCACCATTAGAGGCCTGGAGACTGATGATGCTGCAACATATTACTGTCATCAGGGTTATAGTACCCCTCACACAGTGTTACAAGGCCGAACAAAAACCCCCCAGGGAAGCAGATGTGGGAGGCGGGGCTGCCGCAGCTGCTCCTCCTGGAGCTGCACCTCCTGGTGCCTCCATCTGCCCAGAGCTTTTCTTAGAGACAGCCAAGCTGTGAAGGTTTTGGTAGACAGGGCCAGGGAGGCTCCTCGGTGTTCTAACTCTTCCTTCTCAGCCTCAGCAGTGCAGACATGACAAAGCCTCTCCTGAGTTAATAAAGGACAACAATTGTGATACCGGAGGAGCCTCTTTTATGACATCAGTCAGGGTTCATACAGCAAAATACAAGCCACTCTACAGATTTGAAGCAAGAATTGTGTTAATACAGCAAATGAGAATTGGAAGTACAATCCTAGGTGTAGGGTAGTCAGGGAAGCTGACGCTAGAAACAGGGGACTCTCTGGTGATCTGACAGTAGCCAGAGTCTCTCTGCCACCGATGTTATGAGCTGCCTGGCCAAGTGGTCCTCAGACCGGTCTTGGAGGCTCAAAGGTGGAGGTGCTGATGTTCTCAGCTGATGCAGCTCGTCACCAGGGGATCCTCCACTGCTCAGTTTGTCCAGGTGTCTGCCCGCAGGTGTCAATGAATGTTGAATCATCCTCTTCTAACTTTCAAATATGATAGGAGGGCGCCTCATTGAGTAACTCTACAAGAAACCTCAGATAGGAAACCAGTTTTGGGAAACCTGCTGCCAGAAATGGTGGTGGTATTGGGATTGAATTCTGATAGCCACATATTGTCGATATTGACCCAAATCTCAGAACTTTTCAGGTATGTGATGGCCTCAGAATATGCTTGAATGTGCTTCCACACATTAGTAGCAAGTATGGGATCATTGAAGACAATTTTTCTTAAGTCACAGAGTAAACTGAAAGATGACAAAATAGCCTAGAATCTATAGCAACCATTTAACAAACAAATGAAAAACTTTTCTTGACGAAACAAACAAGAAAACCTAAAGTTACATATACTATAATTTTTCCTTATTATTAAAACTTTGCTGCTCTACATTTGTTCCGATGCCAGCTGCATCATCAACATCAATGTGAGCATGTTACACACAAAGTAGCAAATGCATCTTAGACACACTGAATGCCGATCTTCATTTTAACAACTTCACAATTAATCTACAGAAGTTTTAAGAAGCTATGTGTTCAAGGACGCTTACCTTTAGCTAAAGATATTCCTTTTCCCAATGGGGAAAGCCTCATGTTGAGAATACACCTAACTTCATTTCTATTTAATGGAAAATTACATTTGAAAAGTATTTTAAATTGTATACATAAAAATTATGAAAAACCTAATTATTTTTCTATGCACAATTACCTTGAAAATTAAATGCAGTAAATATTTTAGAGGCCATAAATTAATAAAGTAAAAGAATAGATTAAAATTGTATGCACCCCTGTTTAGGAATGATTGGACTTACATTTGCCTGCTTAGCCTGCTTTGGGGATGTTGTTCAGTCCTGCTACTTTGCCTACAGATGCTCTGCCTTGAGTGGGCACTAACTTGGATCCGCATCAAACACAATCCAAAGGCTGGAGACAAGCTCAGTGTCCTGCAGTAGAACCACCCTGCTGACCACCTTGATCAGCCAGATAATTGTTATCATGAACACCCACCGACATGAAAATAATTGCTCAGTGTTACTAGCCATGGAATTTTAAGAGATTTATCTCCTATATGTACATTTTCCATAAATGAGGCACATTTCACTCTTTTAATTCAAATATTATGTTGTTTTAATTTCTTCTTAATATATTTCTAAGTGGACTACCAAATGGTCACATTTATGTCATTAGTTTTAAGTTAATACATCTATCTATATAGCAGTATGTGTAAATATTCTATTGTTCAGCTTTAGCCCAGGTGATGGGGTCAGGAAAAGCTGTTGTCTCAGCCTGATTGTAGAATTTCTGTGAATTCACGGAGTATAACCTGTGTTTTCCTGTCTTACTAATCACCTAGAGTCAGTGAGATGTTGTGTGGCACACACCTGCTAGGAACAGAATAGAAACCTCTGGACTCATTTCTGTCTTTCTACACCTTGGTACATGATTGGATCCTGTTGGAATGAGTAGTGGACCAGAACTTTATTTTGCTAGTATGCCTTCATTTGGTGCTTAGCAACCTTTCCCAAGGGTCCTGAAGCTGCCACAAAGAGGAACACTCAATTGTCCCCAGGAGTGTGTGTGCACAGATGACCACAGTGACACAGAGGAGCAGGACCCGGCTCTGACTCCTCAGCTACTGATCTCATTTCCCAGAAGACAGATGTTGCTGTCTGTGCAGGCAAAGGACTCTTCCTGCGATGGTCCTCTAATCTCCTCTCCACTCCGATGTGGTCAGCACACCCCCCAGCACAGACTCAGGCACTCTTCTCTTTCGACAGTTTTGAAAACTTCTGTTCTCATTCCTGAAACTACAAAACCACTCTCTACAAATCTGCAGTTTCCCTAAACCAGTTAAACTCTTTTCCTTTCATTTATTTTTGTCTTCAAAAATAAAGATAAAGTAAAAACATACTCTTGATAAACACAAATGAAGAGAAATGATTACTTTCAGACATGCTCTGCAAGAAATTTAAGAGGAAATTCTTCAGAATTACAGGAAATGACAACAGACAACAACCTGAATCCACAGGAAAGCATGAAGGCCTCAAAAACAGGCAAGAAATGAGAGAGAAACTAGGAATAACAATAAAATGTTTACTTTAAACATATGACATTCAAGTTCAGGAAGAGACACACTTGTGACAGATGTCAGAAGGAAGGTCACTCTGGTTAGGACAGGGGAACAGTGACTGACAGGGAACTTGCAAGATGGAAGCATCTGGGGATTATGAAATATTCTATAGCTTCGTTTCCATACTAAATATTCATAAAACATTATTAATTGTACATTTAATATTTCTACCCTTTATATGTTTTATCTCAATTAAAAAAATAGAAAAGACCAAACCTAGTCTCTATTATACAAGCAGGTTAAAAATATAATTCATAAAATATTTATGGAAAATCAACCTCATAAAAGAAAAGTATAATGTGCCTGGGAAAATGCTGAAGAACTATTATAAAACATGGAGGAAAAGGAAGGAACAATTATAGTATGTCTTTTCTCCTACTGGAGCTAAATAGATTTTTTCCTCTGTTAGTTTCCCTCCAACCACAGAGAACATTTTCTGTTACTTTGCTTACAAGAGACGCCCCCATGCTCCTGCTGGCTCCTTCCACAGGACTGCACCCACCAGGGCATTTGCATACTGTCCCCTGGGGAGGACCTGCCCCTAGAAGTCTGAGATAAAAGCTCAAATCTAATCTTGCCTGGACTGACCAGGACTCCTCAGTCCAACTTCTCAAAATGAGGCTCCCTGCTCAACTCCTGGGGCTGCTGGTGCTCTGGGTCCCTGGTAAGGACAGAAGGAGATGAGGAAGGAGGATGGGGTGGGAGAGTGAGCTGTGGGGCTCCACTGCCTGCTACGTTGCTCTGTGCATGTGTTAGATGTGCACGTCTTGTCCTCCAGGATGGGACATGGCAGATTTACATCTGAGACATTGAGGAAGATTATAGAAAGAGCAGGGCCTGTGGTCTCGTGAAGACATTCAGACAAAAAGAGGGGAACAGTAGAAATGAATTCTATTGGCTCCTTAGGGCTTTGAAAATATCTATTCTTTTATAAAACTGTATACTTGGGGAATATGAATCTAAACATGGAGCACACAAAAAATCTAGACTATAATTATCAAAAGCAAATTATGAAAATGCCTCTAATGTGTGTATATAAGCTTGCACTTCTCTCTTGTTATTTCAGGATCCAGGGGTGATGTTGTGATGACCCAGACTCCCCTGTCCCTGCCTGTCACCCCTGGAGAGTTGGCCTCCATCTCCTGCAGGGCTAGTCAGAGCATCCTACACAGTGATGGAAACACCTATTTGAATTGGTTCCTGCAGAAGCCAGGCCAACCTCCCAAACGCCTGATTTATAAGGTTTCCAACCGGGACTCTGGGGTCTCAGACAGGTTCAGTGGCAGTGGGTCAGGGACAGATTTCACACTGACAATCAGCAGGGTGGAGGCTGAGGATGTGGGAGTGTATTACTGCATGCAAGCTTCATATTATCCTAGCACAGTGATATAGCCCCGAACACAAACCTCCATGCTTGGGGTGGCCCAGCTGCCCAAATGTGTTGTTTGTCTGGTGTCAGCTCAGCAGAATCTCTGGCTATATAAGAGGAGGTGTTGGAGACCTCAGGGCAACAGATTGCATTCGAGGTCCCTGTTAATTGGTACCTGTCTATATGTCAGGCAAAAACCACTAGTAGCCCTGTTAGCTGCAACAGCATTGGCATGGCTTAAGTAGCTGAAAAGTAAAAATGAACTGAGTGCCTTCTGAGTAATGAGACATGACTGGAGGGAGAGCCAAGTGAAACCTCATCCTCATCCTCAAGCTTTCCCTGTAATTTTCAATAAGACGCAGTCACCAAAATAGCCAATGAATATAGATTTGCAGGACTATGTGTTGAATACATAGTGATGTTTACCAGTTTTATGCATTTTTAAGAATATAATATTTGGTAAAAGTCAGAAATTGGTACATTCCAAGTTTCCCAAATTCCTTCTTCTCTTTCACTACTCACCTCCATAAAGATAATGCTGAGAGCATTGTTCACAAGTGGCCCACAGTAGCAGCTGGCTGAGGACAATTAGTAAAAATCCTTGTTTTTAAGCCACCAAATAGACTTTTGTAAATTCATGGTGGAAGATTGAAGACTCTAATGCTAAGACTCTTTTATTTGCTTCAGTTGCCTCTTGCTAATAGACAAAGGTCATTCTTGACATTTCCAAAATTGTGTTTTAAAAAGAAACAATCACCCTACAACACATATTTCATATAACTTACCTCATATACCACTGAAATAACACAGAATAACGTGACTTTTTCTTTCCCAAAAGGTAAGAATTTTCAGACTAAGGAAAGACTGCAGCTATGGGAGTGTGATATTTATATAGCAGAGGTGAAATATGGTCAAATCACCTGTTCATCAGAAATGATTGCCCATTTTATGAAAATGCATTCCAGGATAAGTGCAATTAAACATGTATTCTTCAGTCAAAATATGAAAAGAACAAAACAAAAACGAAGAACATGGTTTATAGCACCCAGTTTTTAACACATCCAGACAATGAAAATTC